GAAGCCGGTAGTGAAACCTTGCCTTGGAAACGCTAAGGAAACGCTACAAAGATATGAAGAAAGCATTGTTTGCAGATGAAACTGCTTATAGTCTGGATTTGAAGTCAACATGTACATCAGATTCCAGCTTGTCGATCTACTGTGGTATAGCATAAATTTCAGTCCTGATTGAATAATTATGGTTATTTCTAGTAGTCATAAGAGCTGTGTTTCCAGATCACACGCAATCACGTGGTACTAACTAGGCCAACTCTTGTCCACTCTTCCTTCATGCACTCACGCATAACCCCAACAGGCGTTACGCATAGCAAGTGACGCAATGGTCGGCCACGAAGACCGCCCACAATAAGAACGTACTTGCCGTGCTGTCTCTGCGTACATTTCATGCCTCCCCATGTGTTCGTCTCCCCTGTACGTGTTCTATACGTACGAAGATATATGTAAAGCGTAAGCAAACGTGCTTCCATCACGCACTAGCCACGTCTCTATTGTTGATTTTCATATGTCATAGTCTAATTGACGCTTGTTAAAATTATTGCAGTAATTACGATGATGATGTGATTAGCTTAATCGTTCCCATCTGCCACTCGATTGGTGGCCTGCCAGACACTTTTTTCGCTAACCAGATGACTTCACTCGGCCAGTTGAAGTCCGATCATCGACGTCATTTATAACGTCGGAATCTATTAATTAGGTCGTAATGAAATAATACAAGAAACGTCAAAATGAGGGAGCGATAACAGCAATAGTAATAGCCCACTGCGATAGGATAAACCACTTCGGAAAGGTAAAATTCAAAAGCTTTACCATCTACTGCTTCGGTTTTCTTGCGGTAGTGCTTCGATGAAAATAATGATTGTAGGTGGCAGACGTACAAGTTAAATGACGCCGTAACGCAGTTATCCATTTGCACGCTTAAAGACGATAATAAGCGTTTCTTAGAGATCAGTAGCATTGCACCACAGTCTCTTATAAACGCCTAAACGGCGGCGGGGGGGGGGGGGGATCATTGTAGCGGTAACTTAAACAGTGGAGTTTTGATCCTAGAGTGGAAACAATCTAGATGATGCTGACAGAAATTTTCTACCGCTTGGCAACGCTGCTAATAATAATGTTGGGCAACCATATAGATGGCAACTTTTCAAGCATGGCGTTGTGATGTGGTACGCTGACGCAACAAAATACTATTTTTATACTCAGATACGAACGTTTTTATTTCTCTGCCCACAGAAACATAACACTCTGATTAAGCATAATTTTTTACGAAGAAAACGACGTTTTTTATGCAAATTAGTGTTATTAAGAGTGTATCTACTATATATATGTGGAAGCTCTCACACATCTAAAATAAGAACCCGTGTTTTTTAATATAATGGCGTGCATACACCAGTTTTAGAGTCGGATTTTATTCTCGATCATCCGAACCTCCCCGATTGAATAGCATATTCTAAGCTGTCCTCCGTCACCTCTGGTTGAATACCGAGCAATTCAAAAGCTCTAAAAGGTCAATCAATTATAGCTAATGGGCCTTTCTGGCCTGTTTTTGTTAGAATATAGTCAAAAGGATAAAATTCATTTTCAAGATCTTTTTCGATGATGGGGAACGAACCGTGTAGTCGTAACAACGATATTGATAAAAAAAAAAAAAGTACGAGTATCTGAATTATTCAGATATGTTTCGTATCTTTATTTGTACGACCCTTTTCTGACCTGCATTCGTGTATCCCTCATCTGTTCTGTTCTGATCTGATCTGGCCGCTCATTTATCTCTCAGCCGGATCGTCTTCTCAGTTAATGAATAAGTTCACATTCTATCGTCCCGTCTTCAAATTGGTTCGATCGAGCAATCGGCGGGCATCGTGCACGCGTGCATATTTGATTGTCAAACGGTTTTGCAATTTCAGCATAGCTGAGGAAAACGCTTCCGTACAAGAGGATAACCTCCTACAGAACATCGGACTGCCACTTCCATGCCACTATCCAGAGGCCTGGATAAGGTTCGCTGGTTCGAGCTCTCCTTATTCAACTATCGTACGCAGATGGCAGCAGCGGCAATTGCTTTGCGTCAACGGTAACGCTTTTCCTGGGCGTCGTCACTGTTGACACTAAATATTTTTGTCAGTGATGAATACCGCTATCGTTGCCTTCACTGGTGCAGTGTACGCGTCGCTGAGTGTCACGTCACTGAACAACTTGACGCGATACCACATTTGTTACCACGTAGTTGTTCGATGAACGTACGTTACTTGCCAATTTTTGATTGGGTTTGGCCTCTTTCAAATTACTTTTTCTTTGCCTATTTATGTACATTCTCCTCTTTGGCATCTCCGATACATTTTTTTTTTTGTTTCATAACTAAATAAGACATGAAAAGGGCCAGAAAACGTAAAGAGTGAGGGGTGGCGAAGGGAAAGGGGTAGTTGCTGAGCAAATCAGGAAGTCGGGGAAAGGGGATGAATCAGAAAAATGTCAATTGATTTTTGATATCAGATAGCTGTGTGGTCGATTTTTTTGTTACTCTATGTCTACTATAGGATACTGCCAGCTGTACTGATGGCTATACAATTTAGGGTTAGTGAAAAATCAATGTTTGCTGGAATCAGATGGCCCATTTATCTCGGTTTAATACCGTTAATCGTTGTAGTAGTTATATTCGTCTAGGGCAAACCTCGTGGTCGTAGCCATTAAAGAACGACATCCTTAAATGTAAATCTTGAATCTAGATCTCGACTGCAAGGCGTTCGATATCGCATCGTAAGCCGATCTCATTCTCGTAAGAGTCTGACCGTGCCAGCCAGTCGGCAGAACCATTGTCTCGTTCTTCGTAGAGCTCAACATGTTGTCGTAATACTGTTCACTTTTTTTTTTTTTTTTTAGTTATTTTTGTTGATTGACCCAGAAAGTAACGTTGAGTGCCCATCGACTAGTCTAAACAACAGCAATAGTGGTGATAGCCCTGGTCGTAATCGCAGATAAATATCGCATGGTTGTTCCAGCATTCATAGCACTACAGAAACATTTAAAGCGAATCAGTTTCAGCTTGTCGCTGGTTTCATGACGCCATGTCAGCAGCAATCCTTCAACTGCTCTGTGTTCACTTGTTATCTAATATCTGCGAACTTGGCTTACTGGTAGCTTGTCTTCAACGTTAGTCAGATTTTCCGTTTTGTCTACTGCTACGTCATTGCATTCTCTCTCTGCTGTTTGTTTTGCTGTTGCAGATGATCGTAGCGGGCAATTAAAGAGTATCTTTCTACCCGCTGCGGTCACTGCTTAGCAGACGCCCCGTTAGGCGCCGTTGAGCACCTATTGACAAAGACGAACTCAAAGCGCGCACTTCCTTTTCGTATCGCGCGACGAACGCGCCCTACTGTTTTTGGGTTATTTTTGTTGGCTTCCCGCTTTGTGTTGCCGTCAAAAATGTCCAGGTGACAGACCGGCGGACACGAGCAATGGACCGCAATAGCAGGCCTAGAAATGTAGCTATGTCTCCGATTGTTGTAGGATAGAGCGTAGTTTATTAACTGTCACTAGAACACATTTTCCCGCTCTAGCCCGTTGTGATTATAACTCCGGAGATTCTTGTCAAATTAACTTCGCCTGTAATTGGCATTGTATTTGAGCAGTGAACTAGTGGTTTTATTTGGCTGTACTTGTCGCAGCTACGTTGTTTCGTTCTCGACATATTCCAGGCGGTACATTTCGAGTGTTACATGACGGTCTTAGTGTACCAAATTAATGTTTCTTTGTTGTTTTGCTACTTTAGCCGACGCTTTTGTTTGAAATTTCCGCTGTGGCGGGTCAACCTGCGAAGTGTGACGGCTTATCCTCTCCGGTAAACTGCATTTCGTTCTACTACTGTCGAAATGCACTATGTGTCCTACTGCCCGTCCTGCCTGTCCATAGCACTTCTGCGTTTGTTTACCGCGAGCGCGAGCGAGAGGAGGGGAACGAGACAGAAAGGGGGATAGCGAATGACGCGGAAGAGATGATTTTTGTCGATTTCTTCCAGCAGCAGCAGCAGCAGCAGTATGATCAACCCCTGCAGGAAGCATCTCTGTTTCTAAACAGCTTTAGCGTCTCGGCACGTTTACTGCTGGCGCGAAACGGTCAAATCGAGATGACCGAACGGCTAGCTCGAGATCTCCAATCATTTGAGTACCCGCCTTTGGATAACTAATTTAACAGTTGTTGTTGGTCTAACCAGTTTTCGTTCGTACCTCTATGCGTCTTGACGGCCCAGTCAAATGGCTGTGTACGCGTTCAAATTCTTCGAAGACATTTCGTACTTCTACAGAATACGGAGGCTACTATGAACACGCTAAGAGGCACGTATAGGAAAAAGACGGAGTGCGCGAAAGAAAAAAAAAAACAAATAATCGTCAGTAGAAAAATAGTTGTCCATCTCTTTAACGATACCAATACGTGTATTTTACCAGTGACTTGTTCCGTAGCTGCATTGCTTCCTGTTCGTTTCCCACAGACTATTAAACATCTTTTTCTTCTTAAAATTTTTTATTCCGTTTGTGGCCGCAACTTATTTGTGTTTATTGACACAGATTTAAGAACAGTTCATGTAAAACAGGCATTGATTTTTCGGAGACTATTTTTTAGTAAAGATTAGCCAGATAAACGTTTAGGCACGAGTTTGTTATTTGCTAAATATGTTTTATCTGTAGTTATTGCAAGTTTAGAAAACAGGCAGGTGTTTTTCGCATGCGACATCATGCAACCAGGTCTCGTGAGTTCAAGTGATATAACGCGACATACCACTTCAAATAAAAAAAAAAATGCTCTTCCGTAACAGGAAGAGACGGCTCCTCGTTGTTTGAAGTAGATCAATATCGCCTAAAAATCTTTGACAATGAAAAGACCAAAATGTGTTTAAATCTATCACAGATCCGTTACTATAGTTCGCCTATATTCTTCTTAAAAAAAATCGTTCACCTTGCTGGACAACCCCTTACACCTAAGGACATTTTTGGTTTCTGTCGTTTCAGACTCTGGCTGTGTGCGCGATTGGCATTATGAACGTGTTAAAGGCTACGTGCTGATGGCTGAGATTAAAAAAATTCAGACGGTTTCCAGCCGACAACAGTGCATTGAGCTTTGCTTCACTGAAGCTGACTTTCAATGTCGTTCTGCCAACTTTGAAGATGTCACTGGCCAGTGCAGCCTTTCTGATATGGACCGTCACACCGTACTTGATAAGAGGCTTTTCCAAGCTGACGTGAACGAAACGATCGACTACCTAGAGAGTAACTGCGTTGTCGGTACGTATTTAACTATTATATCTGCTTGTGCGTTCAATATTTTGCAACAATGCGAGCTTAAGAACATTAGACTGAAGTAACGTCGATGTACATTTACCAACAGGGACTTTTCAGTTTAGCATATAATACGTATACAGCTGAATCGAATAACGTTCTCTTACAAGCAAATAGACTTATATGATATATGTTTAATTCGAATGAAAATTTCAACTTCGGATATACGTAGTATAACAGGCGACACTTATATCGCCCCTATAGATGCGTGCAGTAGTACTGTCAGCGTATGACATAACTAAGCCCTTGTCTGTTCATTGGCAAAAAGAAAGCATCTTTAGTCATTGGTTCTCTGTTCCAGCAGAGGGGCGCGCAACAGAATCATGAACAATGCCTATTTTTTCAAATTACTGGTAACTTCCACCGTAGCCTCACCAGCCGAAGTGAAATGAGGTAGATACCTCATGCGCCCTTGAATACGTTTCGCCTCGCGAACGTGTCTCGTTCGTCCTCGTCGTAAGGCCAAACGGACGAGGCGATCTTAATCTAAAAAAATTGAGCACCTTTGGTTATCGCAGTCTCGCTACGAGCAGTATATTGACATTCGGTTCTGTGACGAATGTGTTCCTGGAAATACGACTGAGCAATATAGAAGAATAACCCAACAGATCTGTCCTGGCTAGCGGCTCAGTATTTCATACTTTGCTTAGATACTATTGTCCACACGCTACGAATAGATGTAGCTAGTGCTTGTTTATTTCTGTTTACTGTAAATGTGTAGTCAGTGATTTTTGCAAACCTATCAATGGACCGATGATCAATTGCACATGTCAGATTTTACCGATTCCTGTCCATAAATACTTTTGGAAGTCGCCTGTACAAGATTTTGGTAGGTCAGTTTTGTATTGTCATCTGTTTGTACTACGATGTTATTTTGTGTATATATGTAGAAAAATTTAACGATGAGCATACGCATTGTCGATACTGCAGAAGATGCTCGTCTCTGTGAGTTCAAAAACGTCAAAAACAAGATCCTGAAGACCGTTGATGCTGTGTACCAGGATGTAAAGGGCGAAGATGAGTGCAAAAAGATTTGTCTAGGAGCTAACTTCCGCTGCCACTCGTACGATATGGGAGATCCTCAGAACCCTGTTTGTCGTATCAGCCACTACGCTCGCGCATCTCTCACTCATATTCAGGATCCTTACCTTAAAATCGCCGAGGCCGTAACCTACGAGCTTGCTTCGTGTTTCAACGGTAAGAAAAACTCTAAATAGAGCTATCGCACATTAAGGCCTGAGCTTCGTTCTACAAGATATGTAACAGCGGGGGTCGCTGGCGAAATTGTATTTGTGCAATGTAAATATCAGCTGTGTCACTCTCTTTTATAATGCATTGTTTAAATTTTTGCGTTCTTGTCGTACACATTTGGCTCCCGCCAGTTGTTTTTTTCAGGTTTTCAGCTGATGCACCTTTGCAAGCTATCATAAAGGTCAGGTTCGTTTGCAAAAGTCGGTAGTTAGCTCACGGGACTAGCCGATCGTTAGCGGGCGCCGACTGTAACAATAACAATGCGTCCTCAATGCAAACCATCATGTTACCTTATGGGTGCCTTGAATATCGGCAACCCGTATTCTCAGAATGCAGGCTGTCTGCGCCGTTGTTTCTCTTCCCTTTATCTTTATTTATATTATGGACTTACGGCACAGCTCTCGCTTATCACCTAGCAAATGCTTTCAGCTACAGGCTCTGTTCCACGACCAACAGGTATATGATGATGATGAACAATTTCACGTTCATTTTTTACGATGATATTATCACCCTTGCATCTACTCTACCAATACACACCTCGACATATTCGATCAACACCAGTTAAAACTGTTCTTCCCTATCCATAGCAAAAGGTATGTTGGCCTACGACCATTATGCTCTCTATTCCTGCTTCTGCCTTCCTTACAAGTTCCGCACTTCATACTTAATGCAACTTGAACACAAGGGGGGTAATCAGCGGCAGCAATGTTCATAACAGTTGCAGCGTTCCTAGCGGTCTGAGCGATTCGATTAACGAAATCTATAGGATCAAGATACGCGTACGCCACGCGTTCCTGTGTTGTCGTACGCGCACTCCCAAGACCGTACCGGCAAACAGCGCGAAACAGAGGGAAAAAGTCACCAAATATGTATACGTCAATTTTCACAATGTCCTAATTATAAGTTTCGTAATAGCTATAAGTATAATGAGCATCATAATCATAATTTTTATCTAGAAGCGATTCGTGATAAAAATGTTTATATATAACTCGTATACTTATCGTTATGTAACACTGCTCCATGGGAGTTATTTTACGATAATTTTACGTATTTAGACGAACGTTATCAACGGTATCTGAGTGCATAGTATTTATGTAGACAGTCATTGTAGTATTTGAAATGTGTCGTTAACACCTTTCGAGATATCACAATGTAGCCCTTCGTTAAGAATCGTGTCTGTTCAAAAGCACTGTCGCTTAAGAGGTTTCGTTCGAATCGTGCACTGCAGTCGGTGAAATTTCACGAAACGGAGCACCCTATACGATATTACAGACTTTATCTTTTCTTTTTCCATATATCCGCAGCCGCAAACGAGCGCTTTAGCAGAAAGCAAAACTGACAGAATAACGGAACCGTGATAGTTCAGTACGGATGAACTAGAAGCCACGACGATACATGATACAAAACGGACCACGAGCCAATGGCGCTCTATCGAAGATAGCGGAATGGCAGTAGCAGCACAAGTCTGCTGTTATTGCAGGTCACGTATTACGGGCCAGACGTAAAACAAGAAGCAATAAAAGCTACGAATTTCAAAGTGGCTCTTACGAGTGTATCATGGCCAGCGTGTCTATCACAGCGACCATTATTATTCCCATTATCGCTTTTACGCATACAGGTCTATCCCGATCATTCGAGATGGCCGTCACAACGGTAGCCGTCAGTTTCGGCGCTAGCCAGCTGGGATATCTAGTCGCTGTTGCGGCTGTTATATCCTATCTGCCACGATCGTATGTTTATTTCGTTCAGCTCCCTTGCCCTAGCTAAGAGCAGGTAAGGCAACCATAAAAAGTATAAGATACTTCTAGGGTTTCTCCATTTTTGTATCTTGCTGTCCCTTTTTTCCGCTAGCTCGTCAATGTCATGTATGTCCTGGCTCGCACTCCCGTTCTGCTTGTCAGCCACTGCGACCGTTTCGATTAGCGTAATCCGGACAGCTATGCGGTGACTTTCATCACTTAAATATTTACGGGATTTTCTGTTTGTGAGTGCGTTGTCAGGGTGACTATGACGCTTGGTCTGTTTTTGCGTGCAGCTTGTACGCAGAAATGTCATAGGCGCGTCGTCCGCAAACTTATTTGCGTCACTGTAATGTTGGTAACAGCGGCAGCAACAGTAAATGCGAGAAGGAGAACAGGGTGAAAAGTAGCATGCAAAAACAAATCTATTGCTAAAAATAAAAGAAATTAAGCTGTAACGTAATTAAAGAATACTAAAGTGCAGATTAGATAACTATAAAGTTAGAGAGACTACGTCTAGTCGATGTAGCGATCGCGATTGCTGGACAACGTAGCCGAAGACATCTTCGCCAGATTTCGGTTGCAGATTTTAACTTCCATTTTTGCCCATTAATTCCGTATCAGACAAGGATATATGAGCAGTATAGTCTTGGTATGTCGATCGTCTAACAATTATAGCGCGACATTTATTCCACCGCTTACGTCTATGATTTTGCGAAGCGCATACTGCATCGTCATGCTTAAATGATCTGTATGGGCGTTTATGTGTTTTTATCACTCCTCTTTCTTAGACGATTGCTAGCGTTTCTGTTGTTCCATTTGAATTGTAAGCCATGACTCAGAGGGCGAATCATAGCTTCTCGCCGAGTCTGACCGTAAACGGCTACCATCAAAATTCGCATAGGCTTTTCGGCATCTGCCTTGATCCCTCCAATCTGGGCGCTAATACAGAAATAGCCGATAAGCCGTTCTGCAGCAACAGCTGCCGCTTACGTTATCAAATCATTGACAAATCGAGCAAACGCACTCACTCGTCTCGTTGCATCTCTCTTACGGTCCCATTCCGCTGCCATTTGAAATCGTCGCTGCCATAACTGGTCCAGCTTCTACTTCTGCTGTTTTCGCAACTGTTGTCTGACCGCGAACAACATGCCCAACGTGGTCCGGGCGCCCTCTTACAGGGTCCGGCCACAACAGAATTCCTCCTGCGGACGAGTGCAAGTTTTCCGCAACGGCTCAACAGGCGGCCGTAGAACCCCATCACGACGGCCAATTGAATGCGTTGTGGACGTGATGTGTGGTGAGTGTTTTCTCTGTCATGTTGCCACAGCTACACGCAAAAAGGGTACGCGCAAGCCACCCAGCTCAAAGGATAGCGGCTCGAAAAGCGAAAGTATCCAACGCAATTTCTAGCGACGCTTTACGTTTATCATTAGCTTGTTTACCAGCTATTTAGTTTACTATTATTGCTACTGACATGTTTACGTATGCTACCACGACGCTTTTAGAGAAACGCTTGGCATGAGTGAAGTAGAAAAAGATGACGGTCGCTAACCGAAAGCTTCTGTCCTTCCGGCACAGTGTAATCAAGATGTGCTGCTTCTACCGTAGTTGTTTGATATTGTTGGATAGCTAACATTTCTGATACATCAACTTGTTTCCCTTCTTTATCACTATTCTAGGAAAGAGCTGGCCTTGACAATGCACCGCTGTCCAGGGTCAGTGTGCGACATGATGGCTGTAGTCAGCATGAACAGAATTTGCCTTTTGGAACAGCACGCAAAAGACGACGATCGAGCTATCTGTCTATCGATCATTTTTATGACGGACAAAATAAATGAGAGAGAAAAAAGGATCCGTTCGTCGATTACTGTGCTGTTTCCGTGCCTTAATTCGCATTTTATAATTCACGCGTTTCTAATTCAATTTTATATAGAACGGAACGAATTGCTGGTATTGCCGTCAATGAAAAAGTCCACTATAGTTAGCTAATTAACGAGAACATTTACGCAAATCTATCAAAGAGGCTTGAAAATATTTAGACTGCCTGTATCGCCAAAATGTAGTATCATCAGTATGAGACGGAAATGGGGCCACGATACTGACCACGCAAACGCCTCACACTAGCTGATCTATATTTTAGGCATCCTGAATGGTTCCTGTCATACTGCGAAACAATTCAATACGCCATCCAGAGAAATGCGGAGGTGTCCTTTGACACGATTCTATCTATACGTATATTACCGTCAACATGATGATCAAGCGTCAGGCCACGGTTATCGCGTGCTTTATTGTTTTTGTCTGCTGGATGGGGAGGCTCGCGGTTGGGGGCACTTTTCTTTTTCTCAATAATGATCAACGTTCTTGACGACACGCGATTTCGTAGGCCAAACGAGCCTAGAAATGAAACATCGGTCTAGTCTATCGAAGTGTTGAAACTGTTTCATGACGAATACGAAGAGTACGTTAGTGACTGTTTCGTATTAATAATCTTCACTGTGTTGTGTCTCTTGCTTTTGTATTGATTTCAGTGTCAATCGAATGCCTTTCCCGCGAAATGGTTGCCAGGGTAAAGTCTACGAAGATGTTCAATGGTAAACTCTACTCAAAGTCGAAGCCCAATTCCTGTGTTACTGATGTTTCTAATTCGATGGAGTTCGAAATCACAATGAACTATCACGAACTGGAATGCGACGTCAAACAGGAGGTGAGTGTCACGTTGAATGGCCTCTATGATTCTGTGGGTAACTTGCTGTAATTTGGTCAGCTCTAATATTGTTGTAAAATCGTTCCCCTAGCTCTGCGTTTTCGAAATGGCCGAAACATGCCTTTCTTATATGAATCGCTCGAGATCGAATCGAGCCGCCATGATTATGACAACACACTCGACTTCAGTAGCTCCCGTAGATGCAATACGATAACGAGCGAGCTTCCACTGCGGCAAACGCTTGTTCGAGTGGACTCGTGTTTTCGTATTCAGATCACGCACAAGAACGACTAAGGAACGCTTTTCGTCTACGACGACGACGACGACGACGACCACGACCACCACCACCACCACCACACTACATTATGATCGAGTAGCTCTCGAAGTGCAGAAGCTCACTTTCTCGTTACATTGTATCCTTACCGATCATATCGATGCAACCTTTCCTGGTAATGAAAATGAAAAAAAATCTTCCAATTAAAATGATCGTGTCTAATCTGTTCCGCAGTGTCCTCAATCACGTTAGATTAATAATAGCAACGCCGCCAATCTAGTTGCAGGGTTGATTGATTGGATGAACGAGCTAAATTGCTCGCTCTGACCAAGCGTAAAGGGACACAATACAATAGCTGGCAGTGACGTGAGCAGAAACGAACGGCAAAAACAACACCCAACGCAAAAAATTAAAAGAAGAAGAAGAAAAGCCGTTGATTAGTGTAAACGATCACGACACCTGTTATAAGCGAAACTCCAGGATGTGTGGTGTAGGTACCGTAATGTCCACTCTGTATCTGCCTCAAAAGACCTAGCGAAGAGTACATATAGCTACGTGTATTAACGCTTGACACGTAGTACTATCGATGTCAGCCCCGTTCCTATACATCGTGTTTAGTTCGTCGACTTCATCAACATATCATCCGACAGTATACGTCCCCGTCCAGCAGTAACGAACCGGTCGATCTTCGCCGACTATCTTCTACGGGCAACGAGGCTTGTGTTGCCATTTTGACTGAGTATGGATTGGCTGACATCTGACAGTAAGTTATGATGATTTATCATCATATTATAATTATTAATATCGTCATGATCACTGCTGCTGGTCTAAATAGCTCCAGCTGGGAGCGTAATCCATTTACGTATCGACGGCGATGATGATTACCATTGGACGATGGTGCGTCGGCTAATAGCGGACCCGACCGACGTACATTCACCGCACTACATCGTGGCACGCCGCAGTCTTCGCTGCCTGTGATTGGTTACTGCATTTGGAATTTTTCTTCTGACGATTCTTTCATTTCATTGACGTTTCTTACTCTCTTACCCATGACGGCATCGTCCGCCTACTCAACAACGACTGGTTATTGTCACTGTTCCTGTCTTTCGCTCCGTCGTTTTGGCGCCAACGGCACTTTCCGCCGAGTTTGTTTCGAAGGTTGATTTTCATTCGACGACAGCAAACGAAAACAGTGACAGGTGCAGTACTAACAGACGATAGAAGCTCACAGAGTCTGTCTATTTTTCTAACATCAACAAACTTACGGGGTAACTACAGTACGTTGTTTCGCACATAATCGGCCGCAGCGGAGACCGACCGGCACGTTTCGTTTATCCGAATTATGCTCGTTTTACTATGGATAGATAGACAGATAGAAATGCGTAGATAACAAACGCGAAGTAACGGTGGCAATGACAAAGCAGTCATTTTGTCAGACTGTTGATATCTAATTGCTCATAATAATATTCATTAAATTGTTTGTTACCATATTGCCCACTGGACACAGACGAGATCTTAGGATCTAATAGTTCAGCCAGACGTTTGAAAATTAGCGTTTATGTTTTATCTGTTCTATTTTAGACCATTCCATGAGAAGCACATTTTCAGTATAATCCTGACATCATTCTTCAAGCTAACTTCTAAATGTTGTTAAGTTGAAAGCGGGTAAAAAAATACTCGACTACGATACATATCCATAGATGAAAGACAGCGATGGGTATGGCATGAAAGTCTTCATTACTCACACCACTACAGTTGCAAGAGCTAAAATCAATAGACTGTTAAATTCGGCTACACCGTGCACCAGCAGCGCATGAAGAACACAGTTCCGTATTACGGGACCAAAAGATAAAGGAGCTTTGATTCGTCTCCGTTATCGTCGTTGTCCTGTCATTACGATCATTATTACCTCACTTGTTGAAGTCGCATTCTCTTGAGCATGCATTTTCTTCCGGTTCTGGCTTCCGTCCTGCAAGCTTGCCATAGCGTTGGGAATGGTTTTGTCCATCAGCTAGGCCCCAAACGTCGCAGTGCCCATTTGACTATCTGCTCGTCCTTGGCTGCCTCTTTGAGTAATAAATTTGCCGGCACTAAAACAGCCTATTTGAGCTTCTGCTAAAGAGTGACTCTGGCTCCGTTCCAGTGCTTATAATAGCAAACAAGATTATAACGTGTTTCTCTCAGAAAGCACAACGAAACGACGGTGCCGTCCAATCAGTGACAAATACTTTTTTTCGGTTTGTGAAAGAGCACCGATATCTCCAATGTGTGGGCAATGAAAGAGCGGTCTCTCTGTCAATACGACGTCGTCGCTGATCCTTTCTATACTTGACTCAGCTTCTTGTTCGTCCACAACTACTACGTCTGCCCCACTTTCGGGGGCCGCCCGTTCTCACGACGAGCAATCCGGGTGACCTAACGGAATTTATCCTGTGTGCTAGGACGACTTTCACTTGTGCTGTTCGGCACCTATCGCTGTGTAGTGTGGTGTCCGTCCTTTGGTGTTTAAATATCCGCCGAACGTTTCATTTATGTTACGACAGCCAGTGCGGTAACCATTTTCTCCCGCGCAAATTTTCCTCCTTCTCCTGCTTCTTTTGATCCTATATAAGACTTCGGGATATGTACCTTGTATATTTTGATTCAGTTCTGTTATAATGGAAATTGTGTCCTCGTTCATAGCTTGCTAGTCCGTATCGGTTCCATGTATAACGTTTACTTTTGAAAAATGCTATTTCTGTGTGAAATAACCGCCCTTAGGCTTCCATATGTTTCTGGGAGGTGTAAGTGCACGCGACGAGACAGTCGTGGTCCCGAAAGATCAGGCCGAACCAAACTTTAGCCACAGCAGGGACATTGGTCGAGCCTGAAAAGAAAGTGATGAAGGACTATCATTGAGGCTTTTATCAGCGTCCGTAACATTTTTGCCGGTTTGTCAGCAAGTTGCTAGAACGCTTCATCCGTTTGGACATCTGTCGGTCTTTTGCTTGGTCCTCTTTACTTTTATTTCGTCGATCGACTCTTGGTGGCTGCAAAGAAACAACCCACACTTTGCGCTTCAATGACAATATCGATTATGCCAGCAACGGCTGTAGCGGCAGCACCAGCAACAAACGCAGGCATAGACATTTAGCGATCTGTGAGACAAAATCGTGAAGCTAAAGATCTGTCTTGTTGCTGATTGAAAATTCATCAGGCATCTCGGACGTATCTGGCGGGTAGCTAATTGGATAGCTGAACCGTAGTAGAATAGCCATTACGCATATGGAGAAAGACGCTGGTTATGAAGGCAATGCGAATTTAACAGACTTGTTTCTGTTATCCGCGACTATTGCGACCCACCTTTCGAACAATCCTTAAAATTGCAAAACACAACAGCTTAACGAAACGAAAAAAGGCCGTTCTAGATCCGTGACGGCTTACGCGTTCCTGGTAGTTCCTGGATGAGCCAGTGCCATATTATGTATCATGGAGTGGGTCGAAGTGCGACTTTGGAGTGCCCTGAATAAACACTGAGGGACGACTTCGAAGAACTGTTATTACCAGGTGACTACGGTGAAGCATTTTCCGATACCGACCGTTGGGTTCTAGACTAGTAATGTGTCGCTTTTAATCAGTTTTGTGAACGCGGATCAACAGTATCTCCAAAGCTATAAGCGGTTTGCGCAAATGCTAGGTGTAACTTGGTAGATAGCCGTAATAGCTTAGCCTAAGAAGTACAGAATATGCCACAGAGGTTTGTTTTCCTAAATCCTTCGTCTTCATTTCGAACCTGTCGAAACATCTTCAGCTGTGTGAATCAAAGCGTTATTAGCAAGAACGTTTCAATAGCTTACCATGTTGAAATGTTGTTCCAGAAATCCCTGAATACTATATTAGACTCAATGAAACAAGTTTGTTTTATTAGTTAACGCTCATTATATAATCCTGTTTTTTCGGAAAGTCCGCATCCATTTTCCATATTTTCCGTATTAGCAGAAATGTGGACCTTTCTCACAGCTCACAGATCAATTTCAGCGATCTTTTTATTTGAAGGTAGTTGTGGTAACAGTTGATTTTCAAAAAGCTGCTAGCAGCTTAAATTGTTAAACTGGGTAGGTAGTTCCACTGTCTTTTGGCGAACCAGTGATCCGCACGTCGTCGCTGTTGATATAGCATATCAACGAACAGCTGAAAATCGGCGCCGAGGCATATTCTTTAAAAAAAAAAACAAGCCATGCTCGATTTTTTGCTTTAACATAAACGCCCCTTTGCTATTGCAATGGCCGCTGTCGCAGAGGCAGCTGTTGTGGCTAGTCGCACTTCTTGCGCTTTGTTGCTACGAGACGAAAGACCTAACCGCTCGACAGGGCAACAAACCTATCGCAAACAGGACATCTACAGTTGTTTTTCCGGCGGCAAGGCCTATAGTTATTGTTTATGTTCAGCAGACGTCATATTGGCACGAACATTTTGCCGTCTGCTTTGTTTGCGGATGTGCAACCACACCATCTGTTACTGTCGCCATTGGCTCAGACTAGTCACGCTATCATTCAACGACAGGCCTTTATGGAATCGTTTTGTCTATGTTTTATTAATAGGCGTTTGCTCTGAAGCTAGTATCGAAGCCCGTAGCGAAAGACAAAGCCGCGCTGAAAGAGATCGTTCGCTGGTCGTCGACTGCAATCTGTTCATGCCCATCCCTTACGAGTGGTCTTGTATTAACATTGACATTGGTCTATTGGCAACAGCACCAGCTGTGTTGTACTCGTATAGTACGTATGTTTAGAACTGGATTGACAATTGGCTGCCATTAGAGAATCTTAGGATGGTAATACACAATATATATATATATACATATATATATATATATATATATACATATATATATATATATATATATACCATATAAAAAGCGATGCGTATACATTTCTAGCCACTGCAGCGTGCTAAAAGGGCAGCCATATACATTTAAATGAATAGAGGATTTTTACAGCAGATGAGCAATTCTGCTCAATCGCTAAAAGGGGTGCAGTCGCGTAAACGCCAACGCCATTAGGTATGCAAACAAGGACAGAAAACTTAACTAACGGGGTGAGCTACTGCTTGTCAATGCCAGAAACTCTAGCAGCCGTACATTGTGGCGAGCATTTCTTTCCCGACTGAGACGTCCATAACGTTGGCTTCCTATAAAACAATAAGCATCTTCTGGTAGAGATCAACGGATAGGTATCTCATTTATATATATACTAGTATTTTGTGCATGGAAATTTGAGCAGCTGACCTAAACAAGTTAAATGGGGCAGAAGTTTTGCCGTTCTATTTCTATGTAAACTTTAATTTTTCAGGATGGCCACTTTTTCTCGGATATCGTGATCCAACACCATGACATGATTGTCACCAACCAGGATCTTGGTCTCTCCATCAACTGCCATTACGACCTGTCTAACCGAAGTGTGTCTAACGGAGTTCAACTCGAGGTTGACGGGTATGTCATATCCACCATGATAGTTTCCGCTTATTAAAAATTTTATTTTTTTTTATTTCTGTCTACATTTGTAAGAGGAATTTGACCTTGGACGAAATACGTTCTTTTCCATTTTCACAATTATAAGTATAGCTAAAAGGATACTCACGATGAAAAGGGAGTGAAGCTGCATGAACATATAATTAGAATAGGATACCTCTTTTTGGAATGTACTTGTCTATGCATAAATAAATACTTCTATTTTTTTTCTCTCCAGACGAGAGATCGAGCACTCAGAGAGCCAGCTCGCCACCGTCGGCTCTCCGAACGTCACGATGCACATCACAGATCGCAACGGACAAGACGTTACTGCCGCTCAAGTCGGAGATCCTCTTGCTCTTCGCTTCCAAATTACCGACGTTGATTCACCCTACGAAATTTTCGTCCGGGAGCTGGTTGCCATGGATGGAGTTGATAACTCCGAGATATTGCTTATCGACTCAAACGGCTGCCCCACTGATCGCACAATCATGGGTCCCTTGTATAAGGTGAACAGCTCGGGACAGGTTCTGCACGCGCCCTTCGATGCTTTCAAGTTCCCCACTTCAGAAATCGTGCAGTTCAAGGCGTTAGTCACACCCTGTATTCCTTACTGTGAGCCGGTACGTCGAAAACGCTATCAGTATTATGATATATGATATATATATATATATATATACGCAGTTCTCATCTATTGCAACTTAAAACGACGCTTATTAAAAGGATCCATCTTCCACTGATGGATCCTTTTAATAAGCGTCGTTTAATTTTAAAAGCTAGTAGGCTGTATGTACGCGTGTGAGAATAACAGATACATATTGTCTAGAGAACATATGTTTATTTGGAAAACAACAGTTACTAGCTTATTTTGTTTTTCTTAGCTTGTAGCATGCGATTCTCTAAGGAACTTTATTTTTTCATGCAGGCCAAATGTGAGGACACTATTAATGTGCCTTTCGAAGGACGCACTGAAAGCGATTCGTACGGCCGCCGACGCAGGCGATCAATTCGTCAATCGCGCAACTCAACCACTGGCACTGATGAGGAGCTTGTCGTCGTTCAACAGATTCGCATCTCGGACAAATTCACATTCAATCCCGACGAAGATAAAGATGTTACGCTCGCGGATACGTCCGGTTCTTCTACAAACTTTGCTCCGGTCTCTGGCTGCGCTAACTTGGTCAGCATTGCAGTCGTTTGCGGCTCCTTCCTCATTGCCCAGGTCACGCTACTGTTCGTATGCGCATTTGTTGTTAATAGCCGACGTGGCAAGAAGCTTGACGAGCTCGTTGAACGGACGCCGTCCGTATCATCGACGGCGTCTCGGCTTTATAGTCGTCAGCCCTTCAACACTCAGTGGAGCTAGACACCTTCGTAAACAGAAAGGGAAGGAAGAGCGAAAATAAAAAGGAGAATAAAAAAAGAAAACGAGTTGAGAAAAAAAACAAAAAATAGAAAACGTACTCGAGAGTTTGCCAATGCAGGGTGGAGTAAAAAGAAACGTGGCAGAAATGTACAAGAACGAAACGAGGTCCATCTACCCATTAATTATTTAATCAAGCAATCACTTTTCATACCCGATCGATGGTCCACCACTGAGTGTCTCAATCCCTCCGAGAGCTTAACGTGGCGGCCGTGCGCCGTTTAAAATCACCATGTGTTGTTTTTTTTTTCGAATATTTTCCCGTGTTCCCGTTCAGTGATCGCTGCCGGGGGCGCAGGAACATCGGGGTAGCCGAGGTGCCAACGCCAGTGGCTACAAATTGCAAGAAGCTCTCTCTCTGGCTATTTTAGAGCGCGCCACTGGTATTAGCGCTGAAGGACGTTGCCACAAGGACGGAGCGAAATTCTCGATATGGTAAAACGAGGCTTTGAAGAATAACAACTTAGATATATAAGAACGTATTGCGCTCCCTACTAATGCATTCCTAATAAGCTCTGACTTCGTACCCGATGGTTTCAACGGTTTCTTTTCTTCCCTTAATCAAAGTAAGCTTGTTTGTCGTGTGAATAGTTCAGCTGCAACTGGAACGACTTCGACACCTAATGACATTACGAAGTGTGAAACGAGGTTCAGGATTCTGGTAGCCAGAAAGTTAGTTCAATCTCTTTTGGCAGATCGATATGAACAGCTGTATGAAATGAATTATGGCCGGGCCGACAAGGAGATTAATTAGAACGATGGGGGATATGACAAATGAGACTGAAGAGAATGCTTATTTATTCAATTTGTGTGTAGCATGTGTGTGTATGTGTAGTAGTAGCTCTATGCTAATGTGCGTAAAGTGTGACAAATCTTCATGAAAACAAGAAGATCTGTGATCCGCAACCGCAACGTCGATAGCTATGCAGACGTAACGGATCTAGGCTCTTCTTTAGACGACAGCTACTTTTCGGGCTGGTTCCTTTTGGCCATTTGACCTGACCTGACCTCGTTGAATCTAGTAAACCTATAGACAGCCTGCAACAACTACATACAACGACTAAGGTCAGCACGGCCTTCTCCACCTAATACTTTCGACTATGATCTCCTAAATGGAAGCTCTTGTTATCGCCAGTTGCTATTTATATTCTACTATATAATTATTGCATGTAGACGCAACTTTCTGGCCAACCACGCAAGCAGGTGCTAATGCAGCGAACTTAACCACTCTTGCCATATGTTCTTTGCGGTGCCCTATATACTTCACGTAAAAGAGGACAATAACGCCTGAAAAAAGAAACAAGTTTAATACGTCGAAAATAAGAAATCGCTTCTATTTTAACAACAACAACAACAGCAACAACAACAATTTGTTAACAAAAGCAGCATGTGACAAAAGCAACTTTATTAAAAACAGCACTACCGCCTCATTTATTGTCACTGTCGTAACATTTGCGTTTACAACAGACGATTCATGTATCACCAGAAGATGCTTTGAAAACGGAAGGACAAAATTCGGGAAAAATCTCAGATCACTCACTATTTACCACGCATCGTATGATTCAAGCCATCGGATCTGGAGGTGGTTTACTTATCCAACACCACCTCTGACAACAAAATTCTTTCGATCAAGCTCAAAATTCATACTGGCTGAGGAACGAATGTTTATTCGTCATAGTATTACAAACAAAATAGTGACACTCTTCATATACAATTATAAACAACGAAGAAAAGGGTTGACGTTTTTCAAGAGATAATATGAGCAATAGGAACAGAAGAGTGATGCTGGCGGAGCTAATTATTTATTTGTACATTATTACTGAAGGACGAAGGTAAAGAAAGTATTTATTATTGTAACGACTTGGCGTAAAACGCAAAAAGTTCAGCATGAAATGACGACAACGCACCATTGGATATGTCACGGAAAAAAGGAACGTAATTTACGATTGGTCATATACAATTTCGATCAAAAATGAAATTGCGACAAAAAAACTATATTCGCCTACTATATATATATATATATATATGTATATGTATATGTGTATATATATATATATGCATATATATATATATATATGCATATATATATACACATATACATATATATATATATACATATACATATACATATATATATACATATATATATATATAAAATTGGCCTAAACGAAACATATAGTTATGCGCCGGTCGCTGTGTTCGAGTGCAAACAAAATATATATATATATATTTATTTATAGAGAAACCATTCAATCAATAAACCTATATTGAACATATTCACTTTGTCGTATATATATGCGCGCATATCTGTATCGCCTAAAGAAAAATGAAGAGTAACTGAGTTGGTAGAAACAAAGCTGTGCCTAGACAGTGTCCGTACCGTGAAGAAAATAGGAGCAGCATGATTCAGTGGTATTATTATTATAATATCGACTAGGTGTATTTATCGTTAATGAAGGCGATCACCGTTTAAACTGTCCCCATCTAGAGTTGCCCCAGCACGAATCAAGCGTCAATTGCGGAACAATTTATCCAAATCTAGCCTTTTTAGACAGGGAAATTCACGAAGGAGCTCAGTAGGTCTCATTGCAAAGGTTTGTCAGTGCTTACGCATCTAAAGGTATCGATCAGTTGATGATTACAGATGTTATAGCCTCGTTTACAGCTGCCTAGCACGATAAGTGAATAATAAGACAAGCATACGTTGGACTCAAAACTAGGTAGATTGGTAACAACTACGTTACTCCGTTATTTCACTAAACGGCTGGCTCCCTGCGCGAAACAGAACGTATCTATGTCCGGGTCGGAACCTGGACTGCATTATGTCACCCACTAACCTATCATCGGGACAGGCTATGATGAACATCTGCTGAATTCAGATTGAGGTCTGGTGTTTTCTATAAAAAGGTACCACTGACTCCCATCGCAATTAGGATTCTCACACATGAGTACGGGAATGCCCTAGTAGGCAATACCAAATAATTACAGCCAGCTCGTTCCGTGCTCGTAAGTATGAATAGTCCGTGCAGTCGTGCCTGGCTGTCAGAATAAAATGGCCAACGGATCTGTATTTCCCGAAATCGATTTCTGAATCGTGCCGTACGTCGTGCTTTGTTGTAAAACCAAATTGATGTCTACGAGACGGTGAGTGGCAGCATTAAAGATAAGGCCGCGTACCGTACAAAGGTAATACCGATCGTGAAATACATGCGCTCTCGTCTACTTGAACTGGACTCTTGCAGATTCGATCGTGAGAAACAGTTTCAGACATTCATATTGCACGGTAGCACGTTTGGTTAGTGATAACCACGGTCAGGATTATTTCGTCTTGTTCTTCTTTTTACCAAAATGTCGCTGCTGGGAGTCACAATGGGCAATCACATGTCGCTGACTGCATCCGATGACAAAATGTTCGATCATAATAGCAGCTTATCGATTTCATAAATGTGAAAAGATGTTCATAACTGTATTTGAAATAGGACTGATTGTTGTGTCCTGTTTTAGACGGCGTTCACTGTATAGCTGGCTAATCTTAGTCTGACTAGGTGCAACTTTGCCTACTACGCTACCTATGACGTGGTTACCTATTACGGCAATCTATTGATACTAGTCTTAGTAAATGCATCTTACCAATGCAGGACGTATATGCTTGACAAGGTTTTTCTCTTGTACGATTGTGTCAAAACATATTTCCTCCTTTTTGAAACATCTTTTAACGTAGCTCGGACGAAACGTCCCAAAGCTGACAGGTTGTACAACAAATAACAATAGATTTTTACTTCCTTATGCATTCTGCTGCAGCACTCGTACATGCAAAGATATACAGCGGCACGGCACGGCACGGCACGGCACTAATAAACGTCGACGAAGGCTTTAAAACTATATGGCAGGTGGTGCGGATCAATTTAATTTTACTGTTATTATTATTATTAGAGTGGATCTAATTTTGGAATATAATCTAATTAGGCAGACGCGAAGAGAAGCTTCATTGACGCAGACAAACTATTTCTCCGATAGCAGTATGAAAAAAAAAACATCATTCCCGTAATAGTATCCGAATACCATATTTAAACTATAATAATCCCTCACATATGTAGTCTGTTCTTATACCGCTAGCTCGATTGTGTTCAGAACTCCTTTATATGAAGGAAAAATGCGCCCGTTATATAGTGCTTCGTATGAAAATACTTGGCTTTATTATAATAACAACTTAATTATATTTTGTACACATTTCTATTATACGATAAGAAAAAGGCAAAATGACGATTTAAATTAAGAGTCTATATTTTTCAATTCGGTCTTACCATGTGATTTAATTTCGGCACTCCGCTTGAAAACGTATTCGTTGTTTTCCTGTTTGCTTACTTCAAGATTTGCGGTCTCATAGCTCCTGTCAAGCTCAACTTGTTCGCTCAGGTCGACGTCTTTGGTTAACACCAACTCATTAGATGACTGAGTATTGCGGGTATCGATTTGTCCCGTTACGTCAACATCTATGTTTTTGTCTATGGATTTCACCTCCGCGTCCTTATTCTGGGTCGAGTTTTTCACTTCATTGTTAACAGCTTCGGTTCTTTTGATCCCAGGCTTTGTAGAGTCCAAATTGTCGTCATCGATACGTCTCACCTTGATCTCAACATTGCCTGTGCGTTTCTCCGGCACTTCTTTGAGCATCGGAGCCTTAATAACAATCTTGGACTCGGTGAGGTGCGCTGACAATTTATCGAGATCGAAGCCTTCGGCGATTTTGAATGATCTCTTCACTTCGCGTAACGAAAATCCGTTTTCCAGGTTGATTTCTTTCCGAGCGTGCACAATAATCTCTCTACCTTTGAGTGTGACTTCAATATCTTCAGGGCCAAAGTTCTCGTTGTTGGTCGCGAGTTCACAAAGAACTTTAATATCATCTTGAGGAGATTGCGATCGTGGGCGGGTAGACATGAACATTTCCTCAAAGACCCTCCGTCTTCGCTGTGGATCCACCTTTAGTAAATGGTACAAATTTCGCGAGCGCAGATCTTCCTCCATGCGCTGAATGTGCCTCTCAAACCACGAGCGCATATCGTTGTGAGAGCAATCGTCAAACATCTTAAACCAAGCCTTGTCTCTTGCCGCTAGATCTAGCGTTAAAAGTTCCTCAAAAATTGGAACTCACGTCTGATTTCTTATTTTGAGCGTGGAACAATCTTTAACAGCACTCAGTGGAAGCTTTTAAAGGGTTTGACCGCCGCGAGTGGTGTTTTCCCATAAAGCAGGGCTGAGTCGTGCGAAGGCTAGTGAGAGATGGGTATGTTTAGGAGAGCGCTCTGTCGTTCTGTCGCCAGATGACGCGCTGCTTGCCAAAGTGACGCAAGCGTCTAGCATTTCTCGAGGAAAATGTTGGCAAATGGCCATTTGCCCAGAGTTAACATCCTACACAAAGCGTTCACTCTAGAGGTGCTAGCTTTCCGATAGATTTCCCATTTATATGACGAGTTCACTAAACAGACATATATAATAATAAGCTTTGTTTAAATTGTCGACCTTAACCTTGATCCAGCTGAGAACTGCCTGAGGCATTTATCAGCTCTTACATTATCCATTATTTTAGGCAATGAATTATTCCAGTTAAACGATGATAGATTTTTAATACAATGTGTTTCAATACAAACGCTAGCAGACACACGAAAAATTTCTGTGCTATTAACATCAATAGGAACCATCCATTTTGCTACGTACAACATTTGCCTCTACATTCAGTTCAACTTGGTCCAGTAACAGTGAACTTGTAGTTTAAAAAATTGCATTATTTTGCGTGGGTTGTATGGGACGTAAGTTTTAACTTGGTTAGAACTCTGAGGCTCGAGAACACACGCTATACAGCAAATACAGCAAATCTATAAAATGATGGATAGATAATTAGGATTCGTTTAATAAACAATACATATCCTTTAATTTTTTCTACTTTTTTTTTTTTTTTACCATGCTTCTCATTCGTGAAACAAACGCAAATAAGCTTGATTCTATGTCTCGTTTTATAGGCAAATTGTACCCTTAGAATAAGGTGCCAGGGTAGATCTTTCGCAGAAACGTCTTCGCCCTCGGAGAATTAGACTAATATTGATACGTAGCTCTCAATTTTACCGATAAGCGCTTTATCCATTGAGCCACATGATTTTCCTGTACATTTGCCATTGTACAGTTTCACATGGTTGATTTACTCGCGCTCACCATCCCGTGAATGATTAAAGCCTTTGTTGTATACCTATTAAATGAGTAGTGCTTTCTAGTATTTCAGATGACGCATCGAGGACCAGCATCGACGGTGTCGATTAGTGTGCACCCGCTGCTAGAAGTACATCTACTCTATCGATGACTCAAGCAAGTAACGTTAAGAAAAAACACCTTTGCAACAGCAGTAGCCGGAGCGGCCGTTGATATTGTGTTTTTTTTAGATACATAGGCGTGTATACATGTAACACCTATTTACTCATCACAGAACGCCATCGGAGGTCTATTCAAAGAGCCTGCCGTCGTTACCATCTAAACTCGTTCTATCTGTAGGCTGATCGGAATTCGCCCTATGTATAGCAGTTTTTTAGGTAGCGAATCGGACATGGAAGTAGGGTTCGCTGATGTTTAAGGCTCACCATAACCGAATCAACTTCCCATATTTTAGAAGAATATAATTACCGTGAGGAAGCTCGACGTGTGATGACTCATGCTAGTCTATATGACCACTATGCTTTAGACACATGTACTATATAGCGCAATTCATATAGCTGTGCTGAACAAATGGAGCTCTTCTTTCATTGACGTGTGTATTATGTAACGCACTAAGTTGACGTTAGGCTTTTTCTACTGAATCTTAAGGAAAGTATTGTCTGCATCAGCTGTTCAGCTACTCAACTGCGAGATTTTGAACAATATCTTTCTAAAATTTGTAAATACTTGCCAGTTCTAATTTCATTCCGTCGTAAACATTATGTCTATTATTATAAAAGTTATATATGGATAAAGATGCGCAGCCCCAGCGCCCTCTGGGAGTTCGGTTATAGTTGTTTATGGCCTGCTCAGCCAATAGCTGATACCCGGACATCCACACCTTTATTTCTCGATGATGACAAAAATGGTTTATCATAAACCTATTATTTGTTATTATTCCTATATAAGAAGCGATAGTGCTGTCGAGCCAAATAACACTGTAATAATCCAGGGCTGATTAGTAGCAATTCCTGGCATGCGAGACATCTTGTCCTCAAGACCACTGAATAAGCCTCCATCCTCCATCCTCTATGCTCTATTTACGTCACCTGCGATTGGCTGCCAAATAAAAGACGCTATCCCTGTCAGCCTGCGTGAAGGCACAGCTCTTCGAATACCCAGACGGATACGCTAGTAAATAAACCTAAGCAGACGTTAAATGTGACGCTTTAAATACAACAGTCAATTGCAGCAAATACCCTTGCTGCAAGGAATTATAGTAAGCCGCTAATTAAATGCTTTGACCACTAACTTACCTTAAAGATAATGTTCATTAAAGCGCAATTTTTTTGGCCTATATTACTTGACAATACTATGATGATACAAGGGCCGTACTAGCAATGAACGGGTGCGACCAGAAAACCCCCGTTTCCCAATTTTAGGTATGTCTGATAACAGGCACCCATCTCCTTTGCTTGCAAGTACCAAATTACTCTACTCTAGCATTACCACGCAATAGGATTAGCTACAACAACCACCGACTATATTTTTGATCGTGAGTAGCAGAATTAAAAGTTTTAGTTCGTTTGACGATCTGTTTGTTTAGGGATTGTATTTTATCACTGGGGTCGCAGCAATCTTCATGAGACAGATTTTGAAAAACTGGATACTAGTTCCGCACGATGCCATCACTGAGTAAAACTGGTGATGGCAACTACTTCAAAAATAACTAGGGTATTATTAAAACTTATCGTATTGGTTCGTTTGAGCAAAAATAAACTCGTATCCATAAATGGTGTTGTTATGCTAGGGTCATCTTAACCGAATCGGTGTTGACGCCTTAGCATTTGTACCTGTTAGGGTTGAGTAAGGAGTATCGTTTCAATGGCTTAAAAAATCTCTTGTTAGATAGGTGTTTTGAGGGACCGGGCTGTTTTTTGTAGCGACTGAATCCTGACATCAATTCTGACCCGAATTTAACCAAGCGGTAGATCTTTGTCAGGCCATCAGAACCAAGTACAACTTCTGTTTTCGGGGAAGTTTGACAGGGGTGTCTCTCATTTTTTTACCGTATAACTAAGGATGGGCAACGAGTTCCAGCGATAGTAGGCCAACGAAAGTAGACTGATGTACGACGATATTCCGGCTTTTATCATAGATGCTTTGTTCAGGTGAACCCTTCTAAAATGTAATAAACAGAATTTACAAAAAAAACTATCTGCTTAGACCTTTTTGTTATAGCGGACATCTATACGGTAGCCAACACAACAACGAACAATATTTCATGCAACATGAATGCCACTTTTATTTCGTTTAGATGCTAATCCATGGATGGATCGACAATGTACCCTTTCAGAAGTGGATAATAGGCTTGAAGAACGTTTTGCTAAAACAGTATAATAGTTTTTTGGACTGGCGAAAATGGCTTTCCCTATAGGCATTATATAGTATGAATATCTAAAGGGGAGAAGGGTAGAAAAACTTCTGCTGAGGCCAATTAAGTAATACTCCACTTTCCACGAAAACGGTTGTTTACTCAACCCCGTTCTGACGGTGAAAGGAAACGAATATTTCTGGGGTTGAGACTTTTGAGGGAACATTTGCCCGTGTTAATAAGCTATGCTTTTTGTCTTGTTCGCCCGTACTAATGTTAGCTTGCTTAGACGCAATCGTCCTACTTACATAACTGCAAAGTTATTTATGCAACTTGACATGTTCATACTTTATGTACACAGCTTTAGAGTATGCCGGAAGCATGCTGTTGGTGGTTATACTATCAGATATGCTCGACAATCGGCTAATGCGACGTTAGCTGGACTTACCGGAAAGTTACTTATATTGATGGTTTCCTCTGTAAACCTATGCGGGCAGACCCGATACGTAGCCCTATTTAAAATCCGCTATAAATAGAAGCATTTCGTTCGCTTAATAGGTTAAAAAATGTCAATATAAGTCAATAGGATTGCTACGTGCCGATTCAGCTACAAAAATATATAAAACAAATCATACGCTTTTAGAGTCTATGCTGTTTCTACTTATATGTATGTCTGCGTAACTGGCGTTTGTTATGGGCGATGGATTTTGCCGAAGTGCTCTTCTTAGGAATATCGTCAGCTGTACGGATGGATGCATAAGGCGCTGGGCTCGTAGAGCTCGCGCATTCTGACACCTATTCATTCCTCACGAGGCCGAGGTTTGGCATGACTGAGGCCATTGGATCCATGGATTTGCTCCGTACCGACGGCCAGTGGATACCTAGATGTGACATTGGTTTGAAGTAATTGGAACGCGCGAAAAAGAGTCTGATTATCTCGATGCGGTCACTTTCTGAACATTGATTTACAGTACAGTCCAATAGGAAAATATTATACGACTAAAAAGCTCGATTTCGTGTTCAAATAAAGTTTATAGGAAACTTTAGCTCGAACACCCATTATGTGAAAATATTGGAACTTCATAGTATAGCAGCTTCTGTTTTGTTGTAATATGCTTCCCATACACTCTACAGATAAACCGTGAAGCGTCAAATAATTTGGGCGTTCTAGAAAGTAGTTGAACTATCCATAGTACATATGAAACAAACGTTATATATCATCCATGTTAAAATCTGTAGATGTTTTGATCACTATCTTTGCCTCTAGGTGTTGAAGTGCAATCACATATGCGCGATAGATTACGCGACCCATTTCCTCGATGAGGAAGCCAAATATTCGCAGTGCCACTGCAATGAGTTATTTAAATGGGGGAACTGCTCGAAGTACGGCATCATCGGCGGTTCCCGCTTCTCCATTATAAGGCTTGATGGAACTGAATATTTCCATAAACACAAACAAAGTGTTAAATGCGGCTTTACCAGTGAAGATGTTGTTCAAAGCAAATGCCCAAAAGCCTTCCTATCTATAGCACTCGATCTGTACCGTGCCCTATTCCGTGAATAAAAACGTCGAGCCTGTTCCTGCTATCTCCTTTTCCTCCGATGGCATCAAAGTCAACTCCATTAATAAAACGAATCAATTATTCGAAATGGAACGCTCTGCGTAAGCTTGATTGTACGGTGATGAAGTACTGGGCCAGTTAGTATTAGGAAGTTTCG